TGCCCATTTTACACTAATTATGGAGTAAATTATCCCTACTTTACCATTTGGAAAACTGAGAAATGAACTTGAAGCATTTGTCTGATGTTGTTCAAGGATCAGGGGTTTGAAATAAAGTTTTGATCTCAGTCTGGCTTTCTTTTCCCCATATTTGTCTGTTTGGGCCCAAACAGTGTTTGACAGTGTGATTTGTTCTTGTTCCACTCTATTGCCTGCTCTGGGAGAGGATCCCAAATGCCTGTCAGTAGCCAAATAGGAGGAGGAGGGAGCTGGATGGACAAGTTCAGGTGTGTGGTGGTGCAGGAGAGCAGATTCAGTCTGCATCTCTCTCCAGGGAAGGGGTGGTGCCGTCTAGAGCACAGATCATCACACTTTTAAACTGCAAAATCTTTGCAGTGTAAGACTTTTGGGCATGCAGTCCCATATCTATGTATGAACTATATGTTTATGCTACTGAACAAAACAGTGTGTGCATTTAAAACACATACACACTGAGAAATTTAAAAAATATTAGTTTTCATATTCTCTTACTATTCAAATAAATAGTCATGACCTGACTTTGGGGACTGTGACTCTAGATCAACTTATGGTGTGGACAGGCTCCTCAAAGGCATATTCATCATTCAAAAGTGTTGGACGTAGCCTGTGGGAAGTGGAACCATTTTATGGTAAATTCTAGATTCTCTTTGATTAGAATTTGTGGTCAGTTTGGATGCAAACAGGAGTGCAACTGCTTAAAGTAATTGTTTCCATTGAAATTTTCCTGGAGGGCTCAAGTGTTTGCCATACTTTACAAAATGAAAATATTTTATATGTTCAACAAATAATCATTGATCACAAGTCAGGCGTTAGTTAGGCATCAACTAGATATGGATAGTGTAGGCTGTGAGGCCAGCACAAACAAATCCCAAATGCCTGTGGCTTAAAACAAAAAAGATTTATTGCTTGTCAAACCACACATTTATTAGTAGCAGTGAGGGATCCCCCATCCTCCTCCCACAGAGACTCAGGCTAACAGGAGATTCACCATCTAGTTTATAACTAATTGTTGTAGCAGGTGCACGGAGAATCAAACAGTGGCTCTTAAACCACTGCCCTTCACCTTTAATTAGCCAGAGCAAATTTTGTTAACCACCTCTACTTCAAGAGTCAGGGAAGTGTGGTTCCCCTATATGCTTGGAAGTAGAAAGAATCTGGATATGGATAAATAGGAGTATATCTACTAAAAAAAAATAAGAAGGAATCAAGAATAAATTATTTTTCCTCAAAGAGGTCGGTATCTAATAAAACACATGACACATACAAAGTAACTGTATGTCAAGATAATCAACATTAAGTGCCAATGAAGAGAGTTGAGTTTAGAGGAAAGTTGAAATTTCAAAAAGCCTTCATGAAAGAAACTGTAAAGAGAAGGCTGATCATAGCTACTCACTATAGGGGCTGCTTTTGCCTAGTTTAAGAAATCTCTTAGGAACGCTGTGGTTCTTTATTGTCCTTTTGGGTTTTTCTTTGGTGTATTATCAACAAGACTGTAATGAACATCTCTGTATATATTTCTCAGTCAGTCATTCTGGGTGTATCTATAGGAAAACTATTCAGAAGTGGAATTGGTGGTAAGGGTTCAAAGGGTTAAATTCAGTTCAACTTTGATACAAATCACCTATTTTTACCTTCCAGAAAATTTGTACTCCCCCAACAACTATGTGAAAATATCTTTCCTTACACTCTTATCAGCACTGGTTTTCATTATATTTTTCCAATTTTCACCTGTGTAAGTTTAAAATGGTACTTACTGGTTTGATTTGCGTTTCTTTATTGGTCAGTGAAGTACCTTGTGATTTTTGGACACTGTTACTCTCGGTAACCTGTTTCTTACTCAAATCCTTTTTCATCTACTGGGCTGTTCTTTCTAAAAATTGTTTTATATACATGTCATAAATTATATGAAAATGTATCTCCTGGCTTCTATTACATGTTTTGACTTTGTTTTTGGAATTATAGCCATACAGAAAAAAAAATACATATATGTATGTATTTTTTTTCTTTTTTTATCCTATGCTTGTGGAAAGGTTCCACATTCTAACATATTGAATATAATTACTCCTGATTTTATTTTTAGAATTTTATTATTTTCTGTTTTAACCTTTAGAATTTTGATATTTGGAGTAAAGTTAGATGAGCATTCATATTTTTTCCTCTTTTCCTAAACGGATAGCCAGTTGCCACAACAATGTTTATGGAATATCACTTTTTTCTCCATTTACTTGAAAAATCAGTTTTGTTGCTAACTTTCCATTTTCATCTGGGTCTAGTATTTTGGCTTTCCATTCTGTTCCATTTATTTGTCTACATCCTCTCCACTGCCAAATTGTTTTAATTGTTGTCACTTCATAATATGATTTAATATTGGCAGGGCTAGTCCTTCCTCATTATTCTTTATAATCAAAATTTTCCTGGCTGTTCTTGCATGCTTATTTTTCCAGATAAAGCTGAGTATCTTTTCCTCAATTTCTTAGAAATTCCTATTCATCCTTTAATTAGGATTCTTTTGAATTTATAGGTTAATTTTAGAAACATTAACATAATTTCAATACTGAGCTTTCCTCTTCAAGATTATAATTTATCTTTATTTATTTTTTTCAATCTTTAAATTCAGTGGTTTTTTTTCTATTAGTCCACAACCTTGTTTTTTATCTAGGAAATTTGATCTCTTTATTCCAGTTTTAAATGGAACTTCTTTAATATATTAGACCCACCTTGATTGGTTCAAGACTCTGGTGTAAGTCTTGAAAGTCTCTTTCACCCAAAAAGGGGAGAGGCAGGAAGGAACTAGCAGTCCCCCCAAATAGCTGCTCAACCCACTCTGCCAGCGCAGCTGCTACAGCTGGACCGGCTCCTCTTCCCAGAGTCCCACTGTAGTAGGAGCCTTGAGAAAAGTGTAAACCACTGTCAATGCCCTGGGTGGCATGTGAAGTCCTTCCCTTTGATCCCAAGGGGAGCTCACTAGCATCCCCCTGGGTAAGGAGGGAGAATTAAGCCTGTCCTTTTTTTTTAAATTAAGCTATCATTGAAATACAATCTTATAAAGGTTTCACATGAGCAACATTGTGGTTTCAACATTCACCCTTATTATCAAGTCCTCATCCCCCACTGCTGTCACTGTCTATCAGTGTAGTAAGATGCTGTAGAGTCACTGCTTGTCTTCTCTGTACTGTACTGCCTTCCCGGTGATGCCCCTATATTATGTGTGCTAATCATAATGCCTTTTAATCCCCTTCTCCCTCCCTCCCTCCCACCTGCCCCACCCCCTTCCCTTTGGTAACCACTAGTCTCTTGGCGTCTGTGATTCTGCTGCTGTTTTGTTCCTTCAGTTTTGCTTTGTTGTTATACTCCACAAATGAGTGAAGTCATTTGGTACTTGTCTTTCTCCAACTGGTTTATTTCACTGAGCATAATACCCTCTAGCTCCATCCATGCAACATGTTGCTGCAGATGCTACCCACTACTTTTAAACTTTGGACATAACTTGGCTAAGTATGTGTTTGGGTCATACTTTCTTCTGTCCTGTCTTTTGTGGATACTGTCTTAGTATCCCCCAACCATTTTGCTCACTGCATTTCTCTACACTCTTCTCTCTTCTGCCACTTAACTGCTGTATGTTAACATAGGTGCCATACCTTCTTTATTTTTACTTAAAAATCTTGTTTATGCATGTGAGGGTAACAGTCCAGATTTTAAATGCTTTTGTCGCATTGTGGGTGAGTACTCCTGGTCTTCTCGCTTCACCTGAGATCCGCTTGTCATCTCCAGTAAAGTAGATTTTGAAGAGTATGTCTTCTATAAATGTAGAATGAGAGGCAGAGAATGAAGTTGTGGCTGGGACGTCACTCAGCCTGAATAGAGAATCCTGATTTGCGCCTTTCTGCTGTAGTGTTACCAAGGATTCATCGCCCCCCTAAATTCCCTTACCAGGAGTGAAATCTTAGTCTACCCTGGCCTTCAACTGATTATCTCATATCAGTCTTCCAAAGAGTCAGCTCATATTGTCCCCTTTTAATCTATTTTCTCTCTGTAGGAACTGTTACCAGTCCCTCCTGCCCCAAGAGATGGGGAGAAAATAAATGCAAAAGGTAGTTTTGGTTCTTGTATTAGAGGGTCCACATGATAAGGGAAAGATGCCTCTTGGTCACCCCTACATCCTATTTTTTTCTTTTATCCTCTGTTTGGCTAAATTGTTTAATTTGGGAGTTAATAAGTTGTAGAATGACTTATAGTGGGTCTTCTCTATCTCTCTCTCTGCTTTTCTGTCACACACACACACACACACACACACACACACAGATTGTTTTTTACTCTTTCGTGGAAAATTGAGGTAGTTAAAAGGAAGCTATTGCTCTTGAGAAGGACTTTTCATTCTAAGCCAACAAAATACTATTCCTGTTGAGGCTGGAAACAAAGAGATCCTAGAATGTAGCAGTGTAAATGAGAAAAAGTTATTTTTCTCATTTAATCAGTTCTCTACGTACTCATTCAGGGACTCACATTTTCCCTCTTGCTCTAGTGTCCCTTGGAGTGTTGTTCTGTTCTACATAGTCCAGGCTGCATAGCTAGTTACCATCTTATCTGCCTGCTAATCCGATGGGAAGGAGGGAAGAGAAGTCATAGCACTGTCATTAATGATGTGAAAGTTACACGGCATCGTCCCCCACACATTCTGCGAGCAAGAGCTTAGTTATGTGACCATGAGTTGCTGAAGAAGAGCCTGGGAATTATAGTGTCTGTACTTCTATATGTGAATTCTCAATTACATAAGTGAATAGGTTAAAGACATTTTTGGATAAAGTCTTGGAGTGTTGTCTTGGGGTTTTAACATTGATATGCATTCAACTCTACAGACTTATTTCCAGTGGATTTTGACAAGGGTGAGATTGAAGAATATAAGATGATGTATTTTTAGGCTGACATGTGTTTTCTTTAATTAATTTCAGTTTTATTTTCAGGGTGACCGTGGACTTCCCGGTTTTCCTGGGCTTCATGGAATGCCAGGAACAAAGGTTGGAGAAATATGGTCTCTTAAAATTCAGCAATACTATATTCTGTTTCAAATTGAAAGTACTTTATGTTTCAAATATGTTATAAATAAATACTTATAAATAAATTAAAGCATATTAAAGTAAGTGATTAGGTTATGTTAGTATCATAGTTTATATTTACATAATGCTTTTACAAATTTCCTTTTAAATTTTCATAAATCTGACAGTATTTTAAAAATTGATGAGTAAATTTGACTACATAGAAATTCTCTTAACTATAATTCCTGTACTATAGGCCCTGCCCTGTTATAATATCTGCTGTCCTTATTTTTCTTTATAAAGCCTAGAAAATAGGACTTTTGTAAACGAACTTTGAATTATTTTATTCTATTTATTTTAATATTGGTAGTATTAAACTTTGTTGTTAGTAATTAGTGCTATTTTTCCTTTGCAAGAGGCATATTCATATTTCTCTAAACTTCAATCTTTGTATTTTGTCTTTTAGGGTGAAATAGGCCCCAAAGGAGATAAAGGATCACCTGGATTTTATGGCAAAAAGGGAAGTATGGATCACAAAACATTACATTGAGCTTTCAATGTAATGGAAATAGAAAACTTGAATTTCAGTCCCAACCCAGCATTATAGCAATTACCTTTGTTTACTTTTCTCAAGGGGTTTATTCAGAACAATGAAAAAAATGGAAAAATAACCAGGAACTGTTATGTATGGTATTCTATAAGAATATGTTGTATTATTAATTATTCTGAATTTTAAAAAGATTTACAAAGATTCTCTGGGAGTGGTAGCTGCTTAACAGGATGTTCACTGACAATGTTACGAGCCTTCTTTCTATTTCTTCATGTTGAAGGAACATCATATACTCCATATATTTAAAATACTCATTGCTTTTTAAAATTTTGCCAAGTTGTGTTTTTTCTTTGTTAGATATTTGTAATAATTCTGAATCCATCCATATTGTGAATAACTTATATCCACTGGTCTGGTAAAATAATGTTTCGCCAAAAGTTTCAAATCCAATATAAACTATAGTTCCATGAATTCTGTCACTATATATTGAAGTTAACTTACTTTCCTAGTTAAGTTGGAGTTGGAATTCTAAAACATTATTGTACCTCGTCCTTGGGTAGTGCGTAAAGGCATTCCAAATGGTCCAGCATGTGTCACACCATGGTAGGCTATCTCACCTTACAGCCTCTAATAAAACTAGGCTCTCCTGAACCCTGGTACTATAACTGTTTACCTTTATACCTAGAAGGTTGGGAAAACACCAAAATCCACATGTGGCATGTACTTAGGCCAACTCTGAGGAGTTCCTGCCATGACCTAAAGTTCTTATGATATTGTCTAAAATGAAAAATATATGTCAGCAGGGTCAGTGGTGGTTCCATGTGTGCTAAATGTGTCTGTGTCAGGGTCAAGAGAGCTCTCCTTACTGAGGTGCACAAAATATTTGTGAAAGTGTTAAAGGGACAAGCACAGAGTCAGAAATCTAAATAAAATATGAAGATTTCCTGAGTAATAAGCAAAATGTGATTGTAAGAATTGTTTTTTTAAGTGTTCATTTTTAATACAGGGTGCAAAAGGTGAAAAGGGGAATGCTGGTTTTCCTGGCCTTCCTGGACATGCTGTAAGTTTGATGGAAAACGTTCTTGAGTATTTTACTTTAAGTAAAAATTATCTTGTACTGTCTTCCTTTAAAAAGAAAAATTAGTGCAAATAATGTATTAAAATACATGCAATTATTTTTCAGGGAGAACCAGGAAGACATGGAAAGGATGGATTAATGGGTAGTCCTGGATATAAGGTATTTACAAAAACCCCCAGAAAGATTTCTGTAACTTGTGAGTAAGCATGAGAAAAATGTACCAATATGACTTATTCATATGACATGGGTATACAATGAATGAGCTAAAAGTTATTTTAGTGTAATTTAAAAGTGATACTAAATTTCTTCTAAGTTCTATTGTGAAGTCTTATGTGTCAGAAATAAAATCCCGCGATATTAGAAAGTGGAGCTTCTGTGATAAGCCATTCAGATGGGTTTGTTGGTGGGTTAGAAGTAGAGGTATTTGGTCCTATCTCACAGGGTATTTATTTTGGAGTGTGGGGGTACTGCACCCTGAACCCTGACAACCTCTTTATCAGTTGCATGGTGTGAGGGAGTTAGAGGAAGAAGAGCTGCGAAGTGCCAATCATTCATCACCCCTGAAAAACTACGAGGCATATGTCTTTATGATGGTGGGTTAGCACTATCGCTCATATACAGAAACTATTTTTGATCAATTATCAAATAGAAATGGGCTTTTTATGATGTGCCTTGTTAAATACAAGGGCATCAGGCATGTGTATGTATTCAAGTCAGTGCATCTGGAAGGTGCCAACAGCCTATATTACTGTCCTACTGCAAGTGTTTTTGTGTACGTAAGGAGAGGATTTGTGTAATCCAGCCAGCCAGTGAGGCCACTTGGTAACACATTGGATTTAGAGATGTCATCATGTTTCTTAACCGTCTGCGCTCTGAAGGCTAAACTTGCTCAGAAATCCAGTCCTAATTTTCTTAGTCTGTTTTCTCTTCCTTTGGAAAAATTGTCCATTTATTTGCTTAAGTGTTATGAAAGTTATCCACATTTTATGGCATTTTTGAGTTTGTTCATGTGTCGTTGATTATATTTCACTGGTTTTATATTTTATTTCCCATTTGTTCATTAAACAGATGTTTTTTGATCTGTTAGGTACTAGACATACAGAAGAAAATAAAACCACAACGTTTACTCTTAGGGAGTTCATAATCTAGTTTTTCTTTATTAGAGAACAGATTCTTCTCCTTACCTGCAAATTAGGCATCCCCCTAATATAATTTTTCATTGTCTTCGGTTATCATTGGCCCATGTGCCCCCGAGAAATGAGATTATACTTTTTGGGGTGGTAGAGTTTAGAGAATAGAACTGAGTTGGAGTTCCACCGTTCATGACTTCTTACAAGTAACTTATATTTTTTGGCAGATTTTTTGACCTTCAGTTTTCTCATTTCAAAATTGGAGTAAATGTTACCTCTTTAGAATCGTATGGGAAGAATTGAGTAAGATAAAGCACCCAACACAATACTTGTCAGAGAATTAAGTGTTCAAGAAGGAGTTAGTTTCTTTGCCCATTTTTTGATTTGAATATAGCTTTGTAAACATCATTGATATACAATATTATACTGGTTTTGGATGTATAGCATAGTGATTCAACAATTATATACATTATTAAATGCTTACTACAATAAGTGAGGTTACTGTCTGTCAACATACAAAGAAATTACAGCATTATTGGCTATATTCCTATACTTCCATCCCTGTAACTAATTTATTTTATAATATAATGTTTGTGCCTCTTTATCCTATTTCACCATCCCCAACCCCCTGCCTTATGGCAGCCACAGATCTATTCTCTGTGTTTATGAATCTGTTTCTGTTTTGTTTGTTTTGTTTTCTAGATTCCATATTTAAGTGAAATTGTATGGCATTTATCTTTCTCTGCCTGACTTTTTTCACTCAGCAGATTACCTTCAAGGTTCATGCATGTTTTCACAAATGGCAAGATTTCATTTTTTTACATGGCTGAGTAATATTCCACTATTAAAAACCACTTTATGGAGATATGATTAATACAAAGAGTTGTACATGTATAATGTATACAATTTGGTGAATTTGTAGATAAGTGTATACCCATGAAGCCATCATTGCATTCTATGCCATAAACAGAAACATCTAAAGCATCATCCCTTTATTATTTGTTATTTTTCATAGTAAGAATACTTAACATCTATTCTGTTAGCAGAAGTTTACAATACAGTATTGTTAGCTATAGGCACATGCTGCACAGGAGAACTCTAGGACTTACTCATTTTGTATACTGAGACTTTGTAACCTTTGACCAACCCTTCCCTGTTTCTCCCTCCATCAAGTCCTGACAACCACCATTCTACTCCACTTCTATGAGCTTGACTATTTTAGATTGTTCATATAGACAGAATTTGTCATTTTGTGTCTGGTTATTTTACTTGGCATGTATACTCCAGGTACATCTGTGTTGTTCCAAATGGCAAGATTTTCTCCTTTCTTGAGGCTAAACAATATTTCCTTCTATGTATTTATATATCTGTATCTATCTACATATCTATATTTCACATTTTCTTTATTCATTCAGCCATCAGTAGATGTTTATGTTGCTTTTATGTCTTGGCTATTGTGAATATTGCTACAGTGAACATAGAACTACAGATATTGAGCTCCTGATTTCCATTTCTTTTGATATATACCCAGAAGTGAGATTGCCAGATCATATTGTAGTTCTATTTTTATTTTTTTGTGGAACCTTCTTTCCATATTGATTGCATCAATTTGCATTCCTACCAACAGTGTACAAGTGTATCAATTTCTGCACCACCTCATCAATGCTTATCATCTTTTTTTGTTGTTTTGACAACAGCCCCTAAGAGGTGTGAAGATATAGTTCACTGCCGTATCTCTTTTCAGATATTTGGTCATTTGTATGTCTTCTTGGAAAAATGATTATTCAGTGCCTTTTCCTACTATTAAAATAGATTTTTTTGTTTTTTGCCATTGAATTGTAAGAGTTCCTTGGTATTTTGAATATTAACCCTTTATCTAATATATGACTTACAAATGTTTTCTCCCCTTCTATAGGTTGCCTTTTCATTTCATTGTGCAAAAATGTTTTTATTTGATATAATTCCACTTGTCAACTTTATCTTTTATTGCCTGTTCCTTTGGGTCATGGATTGAACATACAAAATTTAAGATTTTTAGAAATTTCTATAAAAAAGTGCCATTGGAATTTTGGTAGGGATTGCATTGAATCTGTAGATCGTTTTGGGTGTAATAGACTTTATATTTTAATATGAAGTGTTCCATGGAACATTACAGAGTTCGATGAACTAGGGTTGCCTTTCCATTTATTTGTCTTTAATTTCTGTCATCAGTGTTTTGTAATAATTTTCAATGTATTAGTCTTTCATCTCCTTGGTTGAGTTTATTCCTCTTTTGATGCTATTTTAAATTGGATTATTTTCTTAATTTTGTTTTTGCTTAGTTCTTTATTAGGGTATAAAAATGCAACTGATTTTTGTATGTTGATCTTGTATCCTACAACTTTACTTAATCCATTTGTTAGTTGTAACAGTGTTTTGGTGGAGTCTTTAGGGTTTTCCGTATATAAGATCATGTCATCTACAGAGAATTTTCTTCCTTTCCAATTTGAGTGTCTTTTATTTCTTTTTCTTGCCTAATTGCTCTGGCTAGTATTTCCAATACTACGTTGAATAGTAGTGAAAGTGGGCATCTTTGTCTTGTTCCTTATCTTAGAAGAAAAGCGTTCAGTTTTTCACCATTGATTATTATATTAGTTATGGGCTTTTTATTGCATGTATGTATTCTTATTGTGTTTAGGTAAGTTCCTTTTATACCTAATTTGTAGAGAGTTTTAATCATGTAATGCTGTTGAATTTTGTCATGTTCTTTCTGAATCTATTGAAATGATCATGTGGATTTTATCTTCATTTTGTTTATGTGGTATATCACATTGATTTGCATATATTGGAACATCTGTGCATTCAGGAATAAATCCCACTTGATTATGGCATATCATCATTTCACTGTGCTGTTGAATTCAGTCTGCTGATTTTTGGTGAGGATTTTTGTATGTATGTTCATCAAATATATTGGCCTATAGTTTTGTCTACTTGTGGTATTTTTTCTGGCTTTACTATCAGGCTGATAGTAAATGGCCTCATAAGATGAATTTGGAAATATTCACTCCTATTTTTTGGAAAATTTTAGGAAGGATTGGTATTCTTTAAATGTTTGGTTGAATTTACTTGTGAAGTCATCTGTTCCTGGGACTTTTTTATTGAGAGAGTTTTTAAATTACTGATTCAGTCTCCTTATTTGTTATTGGTCTGTTCCGTCTCTTTCTTTTTAATTCAGTCTTGGTAGGTTTTATATTTCTCAGAATTTATCCATTCTGGTTTGTCTAATTTGTTGGCATAAAATTTTTCATAATAGTTCCTTATGATTGTTTTTATTGCTGTGACATCAATTGTAATGTTTCTTCTTTTGTTTCTGATTTTATTTACTTGAATTTTCTCCTCTTTAGTTAGTGTAGCTAAGGATTTCTCCATTTTTTAATTTTCAAGAAAACCAACTCAGACTTCATCTATTTTTTAAATTGTTTCTCTGTGCTCAATTTCATTTATTTTGGCTGTAATAATTTCCTAACTTTGGACTTAGTTTAGCTTTCTTTTTCTAGTTCCTTTCCCTTTTGATATTAACTTGCATGCACATACCTACCAGTATAAACCCCAGGTCACTCAGTTTTAAAACTTTATTGAAAAGTAAATCACATCTCATACAATTTACCCATTTAATGTGTACAATTTAATTTTTCCCCAATAAGTATAGTTACAGAGTTATTCAGTCATCACTACAATCTCATTTTAGAACATTTTTATCACCTCAAAGAGAAACCCTCTACCCATGAGCAGACACTCCCTATTTCCTCCCAACCACTACCCCTGTATTTCCATCCTATGCTGTCTCTAACCTACTTTCTCAATGGATTTCCCCATTTTGGGCATTTCACATAAATGGAATTGTGCAATATGTAGTATTTCATGGCTAATCTCTTTCACTTACCATAACATTTTTGAGATTCATCTTTGTTTTGACCTGTATCAGTACTTTATTCCTTTTTATTGCTGGTGGTAAATAAAATACGTTTTATTTATGTATTCATCGGTTGA